TAAAAAACCAAGGAACAAATAAGTTCCCTTTACTTGCCTGAAGTGTGTTCAAGTCTAATATCAGGAAAGTGATTTGAATCAGGGTTTGCGCAAGCACCACTTACCCTCTTCCTACCAACGGAGATGCAACTCTGCGGAAACATTCACTACGAATACTTGGCAGCACGTTGCAGTTAGACTAGTGAGCAGAGATGAGAGCCGAAAGGGTCGTCTCAGATGCTGCATGGCGACTGTCTTCCAATTCATTCCTTATTTTTCAAGCTGAATCTGAAACACCGGCCTCCCACACAAAGCCACGCTGTGTCATGAGGAGTTCGCTCAGCAAAAGCCTTCCAGAGCTCTCTTGCTTAAAACTCACGCAGTCTGCACACCCCCCACCAGCAAATTGTAAACAGATTTTATTGACTGAACAAATGTTAATGCCGTCCTATGTTAATGGGCAATGCTATGAAAAGCACCAGAGTATTACAGCACGGGAACCTTTAAGGATGAAATATAGCACGCCTCCGACAACGCACTGTTACGGACATATGCTGGCCAAGAAGGCCTCAGCCCTTATTGCCCATCTTTACAGAACTCAGATCTCATTTCGCCCTGGGTTAAGAGAATTCTGCAATTACACACAGATTTATTAGGTCCCAGGATTAAAATTTTCTGAGTAAGAATAAAAAATAATTATACTTCAGCACACGATGTAATATTCAAATCACTTGAAAACAGTCACCTCAGCAAATATCAGAGAAGGGAGAGGAGGAAGAAGTTATAGACGAAGTTGGTACCGTTGGCCGTAAAAGCTTACGTGAAAATTTAAGTGCACAAAGGCACGATCCGGCACTTTCACATCGTCATCATGCAGAAATGCGAGGCCTCCCTTTCACAGCACAATGCCTGGATGGCTTCATTAATGGGCCAGGGAGACCTCTTCATTTAGCAGAGATAGTGTGAGCTGGTGCCAGATATCTGTGGTAAAATCCCAGCTCACTCCTCGCTCTGTGACTTTGGGCAAGCTGGGTCTCACCTCGCCCCGCTCCAGTTTCTTCACCTATTGAACAGGTGTGTGACACGGGGCAGCTGTCACCGTCAGCAGAGTAGACATGTGCCAGGTACTTGGGCCTGCTATGGATGAGTGCAATAAATGTCAGCACTTCACCACTTGGTTGCTGTCCTGGACACTGGCACAGTGCAACTGAAAAGGTGGCTGAGGGGACTGTGCCCTCAGCACTGTGGCTAGCGGGTAGGCAGCTGAAGCAGGAGTTTTTATAAATAACTTCATTTGGTGAATAAATACACGATGTGAAGTGTGATGAGCACATTTTAGGAGTGCTTGCGATAGGGTCCACGGCCTTCGTTGGGGCCACTTCCCTGAGGAAGTGACACTGACCTGAGAGAAGGTACATAGGAAATCAGCTATAGAGAAGAAGAGGAGTTTGAGAGCTCTGTGGATGAGTGTTCGATAAATGTGCCCTCCCCTTAGAAGACGTTTCTAAACTCATGGACTTGGTTTTCTGCATTTCCTCCAGTCTGGATTCAGACCTCTCCCTTCCACAGAAAGAATCCTCAAAGTCGCCCCCAGCCACCTTTCTGTCGTCCGTCCCTTTGCGTGGTTTTAGATGTTGGCCTTTCTTGTCCTCTCAAAACTGACTGCTACTGTGAGGGGAACTCTCCTCCTGTACAGTCCGTGACCCTTCAGGGTCTCTGGTCATTCTCATTTCTCTTTCCCAGCGGATCTTCCTTTTCTAGAACTTGGAGGGTTTAAGCTCTTAACTGTTTCTTGGTCTCTATTTTCTCTCCAGGAAAGGGCAGCCATGTCTACGGCTTCATGGCCAGTGACAAGCCGGCAAACCGACAGGCTGGGCTGAAGCTCAGGCCTCTGCTCTGAGCTCCCGCCCCTAACGTTCACCTCCCTCATCCACGTCCGCTTGGATGTCTGCTGTGCTCCACTCAGATTGGCGATTTTCTCCTTCCTCCAGCGCGGGCCCTTCCCCAGGCTCCCCACGTTGGAGAAGGCACCTCCAGCGTCTCTTCTCTGGACTCCCGCAACAGCCCCCCACTTACTTTTTCCTTGTCTCCCTCACTCCACTTTCCACGTGGCCAGATGAACGCATCAAAACGGCCAATGTGGACACCGCACTCTCTGCTCAGATGCTTCCCCGGCTCCCTTCCCCACACGACCTGGATCTGCCTTAGCGTACAGAAACTTGTGGCTTCTCCTCCCTCTCCTGCCTGCTTCATCTGCCGACCCGCTAGCCACCATGGCCTTCCCTGTCCATCCAGGGCCACTAACAAGCCATGCTCTTCCATGTCCTCTGCTCTCAAACTCCTCTTCTTCTCCATAGCTGATTTCCTATGTACCTTCTCTCAGGTCAGGGTCACTTCCTCAGGGAAGTGGCCCCAACGAAGGCCGTGGATCCCATCGCAAGCGCTCCTAAAATGTGCTCATCACACCTCACATCGTGTATTTATTCCCTGAATAAAGCGATTTATAAAAACTCCTGCTTCACCTGTCTACCCGCTAGCCACTCTGGTGACCTTGCCCACACCATTTATCCGAGCTGCACGTAAGAGCACAGAAACTTCTATGGAAAATCTGGCTCCACAAAGACTACCCAGGGAAACCTGGCACTTGAAAGACACAGATGTGCGCGTGGCTTACAGGAAACGGGCTCTGCCTGTGAGCATCCCAGTACTATTTGTCCTTTCCCTTTGAGGACTCTCACCAGCTTGCGCACTCGCTGATTTATTCATTCACTCAGCAGAATTCTGACTCCTACATTAGAGACACTGGGGCCACAATCTGGGAAGAAGGCTGGGGTGTGACAGATACACCACAAAGGTGGCAGGGACAGGTCCTGTGCTTGTGTTTGGGGGGGACAGCATGCTTAGGGAAAGAGGGGAGGAGGACCTCGGAGCACGGCTGGTGGGCAGACGCAAGCAGAGCCAGAGCACACACCGGAGCCCGGGGCGACACTGACTGCCAGGACCTGTGACCATCACCCCCTGGGCGGGCAGGCGGGACAGCGCCAGGCCTCCACCAGGTGCTGCTGGTGACTCTGCCTCTCCCGTCCCGGACCACTCCTCCTCAGGGGTTCTGGAAGGAGCAGAGCTCGGGGTGCTTGGGCACCCACCGTCCTCTCGCGCGGTCGCAGTCCTCACTGCCAGCCCCCGCTGGCACGCGTGCAGACGCTTCGGTCTCACAGGGGTGACCCATTGCTCCATGGGTCCAGGCTTCCCCTTGGTTCCATCCCTGACTGAAGGAGTGTTATGGCAGGGGCAGCACCAACCACCCGCGTGAGAGGTATTAGGAGCTGGTATCACAGGCGGGGAGGGGGACAGGAAGGGTACATGGCTCTCATCAGCTGTATTCAGAGAGACAGATAAACTCTTGATTGTGGCAGCCTGTTTCACTGTAATTGAATTTTGCTTTACCTAAACTATATCTTTTGTGTGTGTGAATTACTCAGGTTTTTATTGAAACTTCAGGCCCTGCTTAGAGAATAGAGGAGAAAAAGACCAAATGACACACGTCTTTCATATTTTTAGAAAAGACCAGAGATGATAAAAGGAATAGTTTTGCTAATTAGGAAAAACAGTGCGGCCTGGAGTATTTGGGTATTATCGTCTTCCAGATATAAACACCACCACCAATCAGAGGGACATGGCTTAAAAAGGAGTATTTGGACACCAAACATGAAAGAGAAATATAATGAAATTTATCTCAGCACCACACACCATCAGTTGTTTAGAACAAAACAGAATAGAGTTAATAGGGATATAAAATACAATCTGGGTTTTATTTAACATGTACTTAAGCGCCACATATGAAACGGTCTGTTTTGACAATTGTTTCCCATGTTAAAAAAATCATTATGGATTCAACATATCAAACTTCAGTTAGTTATTCTGGCCAACTTAGAGATTTATTTATGAAGTAATGCTTTCCAGAAAGAAAAATGTCTGTTTTTAAAACGCTTTGTTAATGTAAAACCTTAAACCAAGTAATTCTATAGCATTACTGAAACGTACTAGCAGTTCAAGAAAAAGTGTGTGGGATGTCCAAAAGTTAGGAACTCACCGAAGTGAAGTTACTGTCAGTCTTTTTTTTTTTTTTTTTTT